CCCTTCCCCAGTTGCACCTGCCCAGCCACTCTTCCCACGCCTGGAGCATTGCAGGGGGTGGTTGTGGCTCAGGGAATATCCTGATGCTTAGCCCAACAGTTTACTCCTTCCTCATATTTGGACAGACTTGATTTTCTCCATGTTGAAGACTGTTAAAACCAGAAGGCAGATTTTTGGTGTCTCTTTGTTCTTCATAAATAGATAATTTTCACTTTCTCTGTATTTTTGTGTCTTTCACTGCTGCTTGTGGGACCAGCCTTCAGTGCACAGAGGCTCACAGGGACTTCTGTGGGTGCCCCTGCAATACTGAGGTTTGGGAGGGACATCAAACCCCCATGGAATCCACATTGTGAAGGGAAAGCTTTTATTAATGTATTTTTTTCTATATGAGACTTCAAGGGCCCTGACTTTGTCCCTACATTTCCACTCTAGGTATGTTTGATCACTCTATTAAATGGAATCCTTATGGGGAATTCAGTGCCAACAACACTGTTAGCTGAAACAAAAAACATTCTCTTTTAGGGAAATTAGAGGTCTGGCTTGAAATTTAAGTGCTTGTCTGTCTGTCTTTCTTCAAATAGCCTCCAGTGAAGTTTTTAAATGTGATGTGAGTACTCTTCCAAAGAAAGAAAAGAAAACCCAAACCAGGGTTGTGTTATGAGGCTGCTTTTTTTCAGGTGAAGTTGCTGCTGACTCAACTGTAATGGGCTGAAAATGCCACAATCTGCTAGCTGGAGGAATCTGTGTTCCTAGGCTTGCCTTAAATCCCATCCCTGTAGCCTCATGTCTACAATTCAAGTGTCTTGCCTGTGGCTCCTGTGTGAATCCTCTCCTCACCCCTTTCCTGTGCCTGGTGTTCAGAATTCACAGAAAACAGGAAATCTTTTCAATTAACCAATTAACATTCAGGTTTCAGAGAGCCATGGGGTACAGGAGCACTCCTGTAGCCACCAAATTTTCTCCAAAGCAACTGGTTTAAAATGAGAACCACCACCTGAAAAACATTGCTCTGGGTGGATGTGACATAATGATTTAGCTTTTCCTGCTGTCTCACCTTTTTTTGAGTCTCAGATATGGTGAAGTGTTGGGAAAGCTCAAAGCCAGAGCCAAGCAGAGCCTGTTCTTTGTGCTTTGCATGAAACAGATGTCAGAGTCAGATGCCTTTCTGAGAAATGAGTAACAAATGGCTACTGAGGCAAAAGCCCTTCTGGAGTGCATTAAGACCTGGTGTTAGCAGGCTGGAGTATGTTGAAAAGTGAGTGGGTAAAGGGTAGAGGCACCTTCTTTAAAGTAGCAGGGATATATGTAGGTTGGTGATTCCCAGGGGAAATGAAAAGGAGAATGCAGGGTTTCCAGAATGGGAATTATAAAAGTCTCTCAAGCAGATGGGCAAAGGGTTCCATTAATCTTTTAATACCAACTCTTTCATTAAGTGCACAAAATCTCTTCCACACCTGCAGAAATCATGGTAAAACCTGCAGCTTTACAAACCCTATTAAATCCTGCCAGCTACTCAAATGTTTTCCTAAGCTTGTGCTAAATGTAGAGTTTATTTCAAAGCAGAACAGGGGAGGAGATTTTGGACCTTGATTGTAGACAGCAATGTTTGGCTCAAATACAAAAATAAAACCCCTACACAATCTATTTGTACTTGCACAGGAGGTATTTAAAACTATTTTCATGCAACAGCTGGGGCTTCATTTCTGAATATTGAAGAAGGAACAGAGTGAAACCCCAGTGTGACTGATGAAACTATAGATGGGGAGTGTTTCCCCAGGTCTGGGTAAACTCTGAGGAGTCACTGTCTCTTTGGCCTCTGAACTGACCGTTGAGGATGAAATTCTGCCAGGCTCCTCTCAGTACCTCGTGTCTGTGGCTGTTCAAGGCCTGTGGATCTGGTCAGACCTGCTGATCTCCCAGCTTCCTGAGCCTGTCTCTGTGTTCTAATGGTTTCCCTTTCCCTGCTCTCTTTGGCAGGTCCCCGTGGAGTAACAAATACGACCCTCCCCTGGAAGACGGTGCCATGCCATCCGCTCGCCTGCGCAAGCTGGAGGTGGAAGCCAACAATGCCTTTGACCAGTACAGAGACTTGTATGTCAGTTCTGCTCTGCAGAGCCCTCTGCTTGCTTTGTTTCCTTGGTGCTCCACATACCACGAGTCTAAAAAGGGGGGTCCCTGGCTGCCTCTGAGGGTGCAGCACAGGCAGAAGGGTTAGGCGGCCACCGACCCGCTGCTGGGAGGTGTCTGCTGGGATTTCATGGCAGGAAAACACAACCAAATCTCTCATGCTGATGCTAAAGGCAGATGCTGAGATGCTTTCCTGCCTCCCTAACAGCTTAATGGCATCTTTGTCCTGAAATGACCCACGTTCTCTTTGATCTTGACTAAGTTCAGTCTTAAACCATCTGCTTTTTCCACTCCCTCAAGACTCTGCTCTCTCAAAATATCTTGTACAGATAGCAGCAACTTTCACACCTCCCAGAAAAATGACAGGCACTAGAACACTGAACTGCAGCAGTTGGGTGGGGATCAATGTTCTTCTGCAAGGGCCAAAAATGGAGATAAAACACATCCTTAGATGTGGTTCACTGTGAGGCACTGAGTGGTTGCAATGCTGACAAAAATCAGGCTAAAAGGTACTTTTCTTGCTACATTTCCTGCTCATTTTAAGATAGGACTTGATGTGTGTGTAGCCTGTCTAAGTGTGTAATCTTCACTTTTGTTACATGTATCAGATTTTTACTTTCATGCATTATTTTCATAGCTATCCAATTTCTCTTGTAAGCAACATTGATATCTGACCTTACTGGAAGAGGAGAATTTTGCATATTCAGCAGAGAGAGGTTTGGAGTTGCTGCAGTTAGAGATTCAGCAAAGAGAGGTTACAGACCAGGACCAAGGGGATTCTGCATGCACTAGGACGAAGATCATAGAATCACTATGGTTGGGAAGAACCTCTAGGATCAAGTCCAATCACCATCCCACATTTCCCTAACCACTACTCGTTTTTGGAACCCCTCCAGGGCTGGTGACTCCAGCACCTCCCTGGGCAGCCTGGGCCCATCCCTCACCACTCTGCCCAGTGCCCAACCACTCTCTCAGGGAAGAATTCTTCCTAATATCCAATGGAAACCTCCCCTGGTGCAACTTCAGGCTATCTACTCTCATCCTATCATTAGTCATTTGGGAGAAGAGACCAACACCAGCCTCACTCCAACCTCCTTTTAGGTAATTGTAGAGAGCCATGAGGTCACCTCTGTCTCCTAGACTCCTGAGGGACACTGCTCGTGACCAGTCACCCACTGCATTTATCTCCATTCCCCACAACTCTCTGGGCTCAGTCATCCAGCCAGTTTTTAACCCAGCCAAGAGTCTCCCTGTCTAGGCCAGGAGCCACTTCTCCAGCAGGATGCTGTGGGAGAGGGGGGCAAAGGCCTGACTGAAGTCCAGCTAGACAACAGCCACAGCCTTTCCCTCATCCACAGAGCATAGAAGGAGATCAGGTTGGTCAAGCAGAACTTCATGAACCTGTGCTGGCTGGACCTCATCCCCCTGTTTAAATGAGCAGGGTTATGGATCCAGGGCTGGCTTTTTAAACCCCTCCCTGATCAGATGGCTGTGAAGCTGCAGCTGCATACAATAACTTCCTAAAAGTTCCAATTTCTGGAATTTAAGCACAATACAGGTTTCTCTCAGACTTAGGTGG